AAAAGCTTCCCCCACTACAAAAGCTTCACCCACAAAAGCTTCCCCCACCACAAAAGGTTCACTAACAAAAGCTTCACCCACCACAAAAGTTTCACCTACAAAAGTTTCACACTATCTTGATCAAGATAGTGTGAAGCAAAATCAATTCATGATACCCAATAAAGCATCAATCTCAAAGCTTCACCTACAAAGCTTCATATATATATATATATATATATATATATTTTATTTATTTATTTATTTTTTGGAAATTCGAAAATTCAAAAATTCGAAACTTCGAAAATTCAGAAATTCAAAAATTCAAAAATTCGAAAATTCAAAATTCAAATTAAAAAAAAAAATTGCCTAGGCATCCTCTTCTTTGGGCCTAACAACTTTCATAATAAATATATGTGAATGGGTAGTTTTAGCCTACCACTTAGAAAGGAAAATTGTGAAGTTTTGTTACTTTGGAAACTTGGCTACTAGCAAGACACCTCCTTCGTCAACTCCCCCGACCGGAGACTTAGGGGACTCCTATCATATGCTACTGCACCTTGATACTCGGAAGTCTCACGACCACTCAGTGACTTGGATTTTTTCAAGTCTCCAATCGAGAAGTTTTCCTCACTCGGGAAATTAAGGGAGCACTACCTCAACCTACATGCTTCACTCACAAAGCTTCAACATACAAGATTCAACAAAATGAAAAATTCAAAGAACTTAGTGAAGAAGGCATTGGTGTATTTAACACAATACGTTGAAATGAAGCAAAACTTGTTTATTGATATCTCCGATAAATTACAAATATGTACATATACGTGAATCAAAATAAACAAACAAGAGGGAGCCTTCACAAAGGTTGCTCAGGAGAAGTCTCAGCAGTCGGCAGAACCCCAAAAAGAGGAGGCACCAGATGGTGATTATTCGGAGCCTCAGTACTAGGCAGAACCCCAGAAAGATGAGGCATCGAAGGTTGATAATTTGGAGCTTCATTACGCGGTACAACCCCAGAAGACGAAGGCAATAAATGCCTTTGGAACAAACCCACAAATCTTTGATGATCAAGTAAAATCTGACCATCAGATTCCTGCAGCTGGTTAAGCTTCATCTTCATGTTTGTAGCATAGTCATATGCGAGCTTGTGCAACTGTTTATTCTCATGTTTGAGCCCTCTGATCTCCTGTTTGAGACTTATCACTTCAGTCGCCAATGATTCAACTTGGCGGGTTCGAGCAAATAGGCTTTGGGCCATATTAGACACATAACCTACATACTGAACACTGAGAGCCAGAGAATCCTTAATAGTTAACTCATCAAACCGTTTGGAAAGTAGTCTGTTATCTTTGGGAGTGAGAAGGTTTTTGGCCACCATCACAGTGGTCATATCATTCTTCATCACAGAGTCCTCAACGGTAAGAGGACCAGTAGGGGATAAGAAAGATGAGCGCCATATATTGTCTTAAGAAGGCATGGTTGCCTTTTCACCAAAGTTCAAGTCAAAACGATGGTTGGATGGGCCAGACATTCTCAGAAATGATGAAGGAGAAATGAGGTGCAATAAATCTCTGAAGTAAGAAGAAAATTCCTACAAGCAATAACTCTCTGAATGTACTTCTTGCACACAATTGGTACCCTTATAAAAGAAAGGGCAACATGGCCGTTGGTTCAAAAATCAAAGAGGCACCAATCTCCGAATTCCGAAGAGGCACCACTTTCCACATGCAACATCAGCTCCTCGGGTACCACAAATAACTTTGCCAAAGATCTCTGACAAAGTTTAGACACATAAATTTTGAAGGTCCAGCTACCCTACTATTACCCACAAAGGTAAAGGAACAGCACCACTGCTTCATAACTAGAAAGTCCCAATGTGTGTCAACCTCTGTGCTCCGTGGCAAGGCAGATTGGCAAAAATGTCCAACCTTTACTCACATTCGAGAAAACACTCCCAACAAGATTGCTTGCTCAAAAATCGAAGAGGCACCGCCCTCCGAATCTCGAGAGCCAAACTCCCAACAGGATTACTTTCTAAAAAATCGAAGAGACACTGCTCTCCGAATCTCAAAAGTCAGACTCCCAACAGGATTGCTTTCTCAAAAATCGAAGAGGCACCGTTATCTGAATCTCGAGAGCCAGATCCCCGACATGATTGCTTGTTCGAAAATCGAAGAGGCACCGCTTTCCGAACTTCGAGAGCCAGATTTCCTTAGATAAAGCTTGTCTGCAATCTTCATACGCAACATCAGCTTTCCATATACCACATACCACTTTTTCAAAGTACTCTAACAAAGTTAAAACACGTGAAGCTTGCAGCTCCCATTACATTGCTATGACCAAGAAGGGCAAAGGAATAGCACTACTACTTGTTGTTAGGGATACTCATATATATGTCGACCTCCATCCTCCACAGCCAAGCAGACCTACAATTAAAAAAAATGCTCAACTTTTTTTCACATCCGAGAGGGCATTCTCAGTAGAGTCTCTCAAAATACTCAGCTTCTTTTCCTCCCGATAATACCTCTGCAAACAAGCCACACCAAAGCAAGAGTATCTCATATCATCAGGGTTAAAAGTAAGAGTATCCCATATCATGCTTTTTTCCTGTCTTTTCCTTTGGCCTTGTTCTTACCTGTAAGACAAAGAGAAAGAGAGCAATCAGTCAGCACTTGGAATAAAGCTTCCAGTCAGGAACTGATTGCTTGGAACCCCTTACCTGATTACTTACCTGGCATTGCTCTCGAGTACTCATCTTCAACATCTTATGCTTCCAGAGAAAATACCACATATGCTTGAGGAACAGATAGGATAAGTGAGAAGGATACAAGGAAGCATGTGGAGACAAGCGTAACAGAACACGTGCCGATACATCCACTACTTTGTCAACATCAAAAGCCCGTATCATCAGGGTCGAACGTACTCTAAATTTGATGGACTTGTTTTGACCCTCAAATTCTTAAGTCGGCCTTATACTCTGAAGGAAACCAGAAAACCCTCCAGCCCAGTTCAAGAATAAGCTTGTGGAAAATTACTTTTTCAAAAGCAAAAGTATCTCATATCATCTCTTCTCCATTTGCTTCTCCTCATCCTTGATGCTATTTACGACACAAGGAGAAAGAAAACAATCAACCGGAAGCCAAAGTCGAACCTTCGATCCAAGTTGCTGGCTTGGAAGTCTGATTGCTTACCTTGTCTGGTACCTCCTTCAGCAAATCTCCTAACTCAGCGATTTGGGGGACTCCTACTATAGGGTTTATATCGCACTTGACCAAGCCCGAAACTACAAGTAAGCTTCAAGTGAAATTGATACATTACCTTGTGCATCTTCATCGGTTAAAGATACCACCCATGGATGGAGGAAAAGTACTTCCAGAGAAGATGCCATATCTACATATGAGACAGATAAGGCAAGTGAAAATGATACCACACTTCGGTACTTAGAAGTTTCGTGATTACTTAATAGCTTGGATCTTGCAAGTCCCCAACCGAGGAGCTTCCCTCACTCGGGAACTTAGGGGAGCACTGTTTGTACCATACTTGACCAATCCCGAAACTACTGAGCACCGGTCAACATTATACCGTCAAGGACCCAGAAGAGTTTTCCTCCAACCAGGAGGCCAATCACAGCGCGACACGTGTCGACATCAGAAACCAATCATAGCGCGACACGTGTCAACATCAGAAGCCAATTATAACACGACACGTGTCAATGTCAGAATAAAACTACAAACTCTCTTCTATAAATAAAGATCATTATCTCATAATATTTTCTAATGTCATTTGTACTAAATCATTCACTTGTACTCACTAAAGGAGAGCTTGAACCTATGTACTTGTGTAAACCCTTCACAATTAATGAGAACTCCTCTACTCCGTGGACATAGCCAATATGGGTGAACCACGTACATTTTGTGTTTGCTTTCCTGTCTCTATCCATTTACATACTTATCCACACTAGTGAGCGAAGCAATCTAGCAAAGGTCACAAACTTAACACTTTTTGTTGTATCAAAGTCCTCACTGATTTTGTGCATCAACAGATGTATTTTCCATTTCCTAGAAAAAGTCATGAGAAAATGAGGATAAAAAATGCTAAGTAGTCGATGGGTGTAAATTGATTTTGCGAAACTGTTGGTTCGTAGTTCAAAATAAAAAAGAAGAAAAGAGACAAAAAAAGTATGAATAGTTAGTCTCTCAAAGTCCTACGTGGCAGCCAGGTAGTGGGGAGAATGCAGTAAACCGACTTATTACAACAGAATCGGATTCCCTCCGGATCTAAAATATCTGAGTCTAAGAATCAAATGATATGGGCTATTGAAATTTGATCTAACGGCTACAAATAGGAAGTCCCTTTAACAGTTATAATAATTGTAGTCGTTGAATCAAATTTCAATTGCCTAGATCATTTGATCATTGGGCTCATTTCCTTTAAGTTCGGAGGTATCCGGTTCCTATGATAACAACGTTAACCTTGTCAACTGTCACCAAAGTATTTAGGAGGCAGATTGTCTGCCCTCCTAGTTGTGGTGCCCTTCCATGCTCTCCTATTTTGTGCGGTCACGGTTAAGTCACGTAAACATTTTATATTAATTTTTAATAGAGATAATAAGACAAAAAATAATAAAAATATAAAATGTTGACATGATTTAACCATAACCGCATAAATAAGAAGGCATGGAAGGACATCACAACTAGAAGGGCAGCCAATCTGCCTCCAAGTATTTACCTATGAAAGTACGCCTGCAAACTTGAAGCTGCGAGCGCAAAGCATATTCGAAAGCCAAAATAATCGGTATATCAGATATTCCGCGACAGCAATAATTGTCTGCATCCAGTTTTATTGTAACACGACCCACACCGTGGACGTTCCACTTATTGACGTTTACCTATCAACGTCCTTTTTCAGTAGTGAATAGAAAACCGACACTTGTCTGTACTAGAATAGGACTGACCGCACTGGAGCCGTAACTGCCGTCTTAAGTGACGACGACGCAAAACCCTAATCTTTCTTAAAACGCACCGTTGCCCCCGAAGCGATCCAAACGACGTCGCCTCGTACATTCTTCTCTACCTTCCTGCGTTCAAATTAGGCAGAGAGAGCATACGAGAGGAAGAAGGAGCTCCACAGCAGAAGCACAGAACTGCGTCGGGGTTCCTGCAATTTCTAATCTTTAGGGTTTTTCACAACGTTCAATTTCTCTCAGGCTTGGGCAATTGGGGGTGAGGTTTCTTCGTGGTGAAGTTAGGGGATTCTAGGGCAACCCAGAAATGCAGACGGAGGCGAGAGTTGGGGTGGTGGTGGAAGGAGGGCAGAGATCTCTGAATACCGGCCATGGAGGCGTGGCCGTTGAAGGTGGAGTGAGGACGCTCGCGCAGTCGCTGCCGCAGAAACAGCCGAAGCCGCTGCACCAGTCTCAGATCGGTGCGGTGTCACAGTTTCTCGCCGGAGGTGTCGCCGGCTCTCTCAGTAAGACTTGCACGGCACCTCTCGCTCGCCTCACTATTCTCTTTCAGGTGGGTCTTTTTCCTTTCTTTTCTTCTTCTTTAATGTTTGGTTTTGCAAGCTGATTGGTGAGTTTTTGTTTAATTTATAGACTTGTGATATATTATTTTGGTCTATGGTGTGTTCTGTTTAATGAAATTTGGTTAAAAAATGAACTTTGAATTAAAGTCGGAGTTTTCGAGTTACTGATCAATGGAAGATTGGGTTTTTTTATGCTTTAGTGAACAACGGGTCATGCTTGGTTTTAGTTCTAATGAAAATTTGGGTAAAAATTTGAACTTTGAAATGTCGGAGTTTTCGGGTTACTGAACAAGTACAGAATGGGTTTTGTTATGATTACTGAACGACGGAGCTGCTTTGTTGATATCATGCTATCATTTTAGGTGCAAGGTATGCACTCGGATGTTGTGACGATGCGAAAAGCTAGCATATGGCGTGAGGCCTCCAGAATTGCTAGTGAAGAAGGTTTTAGAGCTTTCTGGAAAGGAAATTTGGTGACAATTGCTCATCGTCTTCCTTATTCTTCGGTCAATTTCTATTCATACGAGCAATATAAAAAGGTTGGTAAAAACGCTTGGTTCATATTACCTTCATACAGTTCAATTGTTCAAGTAAGTTATTTTGTCATTGCTTGATGTTTATGTGGTACAGTTTTTACAAAAAGTTCCAGGACTGGAAAATCATAGGGACAACTTGAGTGCAGACCTTTGCGTGCATTTTGTGGGTGGAGGATTGGCGGGAATAACAGCCGCATCAGTTACATATCCTTTGGATCTTGTAAGGACGCGCCTTGCAGCTCAGGTAAGACCATATTGGCATGTTTGGAAAGAAACTGCTTTCTTTTACTAGATTTTATTTACTGATTTGTTAAGTTGAACCATTGATTGACATTTTTGGGAATGCTTGCCGTGTTTTGTCATTGGTAATTGGCGTATGCTTTTCTTTAACACTTCCCCAGAAGTTACAGTCTAGTTGTATATTGAATCAATACCTACAGGGGAATGTGTTCAACTGTACGCTGAACCATTTCATCCTTTTTGGATTACTGTTTGTTAGTCTATGATTGAATTTAAGCTCTCTGCTTTTTCATGTGCATTTTGCTCCATATTCATTAGTTGGAAATTTGCAGACAAATGTGATGTACTACAAAGGAATTTGGCATACGCTGCGAACTATTACCCGGGATGAGGGTATTTTGGGTCTCTATAAGGGACTCGGAGCAACCCTCTTGGTATGCTCATATTGTTTTCTTTTAACTTCATTTATGCCTATGATCCTCTTTTGGTGTTTATTCTGACTTCTCTATTGTCTGTAATGCAGGGTGTTGGGCCCAATATAGCTATCAGTTTTTCAGTGTATGAGACCTTGAGAGCTTCTTGGCAATCACATAGGTGGGTTTCTTTATCAATCGAGTCTGTAGTTTTTTGGTCTTATATTACAACTACCTTTGCATCCATGCTTTCTTTAGGCTTAACACTATAATGCTAATTTGCTAATTTTGTTATCTTCACTTCAGGCCCGAGGATTCTACTGTGTTGGTTAGTCTTGCTTGTGGGAGCCTTTCAGGAATTGCATCATCAACAGGTGAGTGATCTTACACTTTCTATTTTCTCTTGAAAAGTGATTCTATATAGTTTTTTTGTGTCAGATAGTCTGGGTGGTTGTTCTTCATGGAAGTCATAGTTTGTAATTAATGCACATTTTCCTTTCACTATTTACTACTTCGATAATGATTTCTGTTACATATTTTATTATGTAATTTTGGTGAAATACCCCAAATCTAATCTGATGCATTGAAATCTAATTACAACAGACTGTTACGGTTAACAATTTGGTTGAAATAATTTGGTTTGTTTAATTAGAAATGTCAATAATACATAAAAGTTAATGTACATAGATGTTTTCTATGCTTTGGATGCAGAGAAAACAGGTTGTGGTGCAGGCTCTGCACCAAGTCTCTAACCAGACTGATCTCTAGAGCCAGAAACCTGACTGGAATGGTTTTTTTTAATTTGGTATCTGGAGAATCTTACTATCTTAGTAAGGAAGCTGACAAGAAATCTTCTGTGCTCCATCATTCATCTAACTTAATTTTTTCTTATGATAAAGATCTTGTTTTGATTAACATCATCTTTCCCACGTTTCTTCGGTGACTTGTCTCCCAAAGGTTTGCAGTCGGTTCTATTATAGGGTGGAACTGCTCTCAGGTGAACCTATATCTTCAGTTATCAAATGTGAGAGGTGTCCTCTTTGAGGTATGCTTCTCACTTAGGCTTCCTCTTTCCAATGGCTTCATAGTTATTGTGATCCTTCATGCCCTCACCAGTGCATGAGGGGATGTCCTTGGGGTGTTGCCTTCACTTGGATCATAATCTTCAAATATACTTTCCTTTATTTAAGGCTGACTGTCTTCCATTATGTCATAAAATGCAAGTGTTGGAATTCAAAATCATTTGCTGACTGACCTGTAGAATATTTGAACACCTCATTATCATGCCCGAAAAAACTAAAATTCGTTAAACCTGCACTGGATTGTCATGCTGCATAGTGGTGGTAGTTGAACAGCCAATATTACTCAATCTGTCTGGGAGTGATTGCATAGTGCTAGTAGTCTGCTCATATGTTTTAGGTTTATTTTCATTGCTTTGATCTCTGTTGTGCCTTTTTTCTCGTCTTGACCTGTCATGTGTTACTGTCGATGCATTGTTATGATTGATTTGTTAACGGTTCGATATCTGATTTCATGACCTTGGAAAATCTAGTCTTGCAACAGTATTATAGTATGATGGTATGCAACAATGGTGTCCCGCTCTTTTCATTTTATTCTCATTGTATTATGCAGCAACCTTTCCATTGGATCTTGTGAGGCGGCGGAAGCAGCTGGAAGGCGCTGGTGGCCGAGCCCGGGTCTACACAACAGGCCTTTTTGGCACATTTAAGTACATCTTCAAAACAGAAGGGTTGCGTGGCTTCTATAGAGGAATCCTACCAGAATACTACAAGGTGGTACCCGGTGTTGGTATCTGTTTCATGACGTACGAGACGTTGAAGATGCTTTTAGCAGACGTCAGTGCTGCTATATAGTTTGACTAGATACTCATCTTTCCGAAAGCGATGCTGTAGGAGGGGCGTGAACGACGCTGTTATAACAAAATCTCATGGTGGCTAGTTTTCCGATGCTGCCGCGAGGAACAGATTTTTCCATGTATAGATTGACGATCCTATATCTCTCACATTTAGAATTTGTATGCGAAGCAACTCTCTTGCAGTTACCAGAAATATTCAATCCTATTTCAGAAATCTTCAATTTATGGGACGTTTCCTGCAGCTGTAATTCATTCACCACCTAATCACACTTCTAACGCGAGTTTCTCAGCGTAACTGTCACGGTTATATCGTCATTCATCTATACTATTAGACTCAAATCACTAACATTACTTAGTAGTGTGACCGTCACCTTGAAAAACTAATCCGTCTCCAGAAATATGCTCATCTTTCACAAGAATTTTTCTATACATTGGGGAATCGCTCATGTGCCCTCCAGCTTGCTCTCATACGAAGAAATCTGTCACAAAACCTCTCTCAGAAAATTCCATAACGCAAACTCCCTTAAAATTTATAGAACAAAAGAATCACTCATCTCAAAGAAAAGAAATTCATTAATATTTATTTGTTATTTATTAATATTTGATTGGAAGAGTGACAATTTGAGCTTGTATGCTTCCGGGACGAGCTCAATCCGTTAATGTTGAGCAAACTAATATATCTTCAGACTTCAATGGCCGTATAAAGGCAAAGACATCAGTGAAACAGCAACATTATTTTTCGTCGTTACAATGGGAAGTTTCCAGTGAGGCGAATGTGATCCAATGTACGACGCAAACCATACTTGTTGGCAGCTGCATTGGCTGTTCGAAACCCTCCTCCGTATGCAGGTGAAGAATCGTTGGCGATTTGGTGCATGAAAAACTCCCCTAGTTTGTGTTCAACTTTCGATTTTCCACCTTTTTTCGATGAAAACGTGGAAGAGGATGAGGAAGAGGAAGCTGAGGATGTAGATGTAGATGTAGATGAAGACGGCATGTTTTTGAATTCCGGCATTACTTCTGACTCAAGCCACATGTATGAAAGCACCTGGCAGATGCCTTCCTCTACCTCGGGATTAAGGTTCCGGTAGCCTGCATTGTCAAATTAAACAAGAAATTGAGTCCAATAAAAAAGGCGGGCGAGGTTCAGGGCTTAGGGTTTCGGGTTTAGGTTTGTGTGAGGAGAGCTTTGGAACTACATGCTACCTTTGAGGCGTAACCAGCCGTGCATCAATTCATGGGCAAGAATGGCACCTGTTAGTAACCTGCATCCAACATGAATATTGAAAACGATCAGATGAACTTTGAGTAGTGCTAGTCTTCTACAAGTAATTTTTTTAGTTGAAAGAACGGACTAGCATTACCTTGGGAGGCCATAGAGAACAAGAATGGCGGTAACTTCGCATTTTCGAGTCAATTTCTGAGGTTGTGTTCTCATCCCGGTAAATGGATTTTTTTGCCCCCCGATTCTCGGCCTTTTGAGGATCTGATTAGAAAATTCGTTGAGGTCAGCTTCACGAATCATTTCAATTTTAAGAAAGAAGGAAAGAGAATTAGTAGAATCGTCTAAATTCGTACACTGGTGACAGTCTGCTCTTCCGAAAGGCATAAACCTCTAGTCTCGGGCATGTGGTGGAGGCCCTGCAAAGAACCAGTTATGAATTAGAAGAATTCCTCAAGCCGAAAAAACTCAAACAACAGAGCCAGGGATTTCGACATTACACTCTTTTCGCCTACAATAGCTTCGTTAAGTGCTTGTCTTTCGACAAGAAGCATGGGTATTTGCTGATCCAGTTGCATGTTCATCCCTTCATAATAGTCTCGTATAGTGTGATACAGCGTCTGACAGTCATCGGTGTCCATGATAGCAGATTCCATGCACTCGAAGCATATACTCCGCCCGTCACCCAGTGAAACGTACCTTGCATCCCAAGACTTCAAATGGAAGAAAAAGAAGAAGACAGAAAATTTTGATTTAGCACTCGTGATGTTGCATTTTCAAGAAATACTTGGGAGATACTAGTTTTCGAGGATAAAATTTTCTTGCTAGTTTAGATTAGTACCTCTAAGCGTTCGCAACTGCAGCAACGAGATGTGTTATCATGTTCATGTGCTGGACAGTACTTTTGTGACCAAAACGGATGGCATCTGTACTCGATCAAACCAGCTCGATTTGTTGGAATCTGAAAATTTTCAAAGCAAAGAATTGTTTATGTCGAAGTAGGTTACAATAACATTTCTATTTATATAGAAAATAGACTTTTCTTACAAATTGATGGCAAACTTCACACTTGGGGTGAGCCAGATCTTTAAAGCAGGACTTGTGATATGGATCCCTCCCTGACAAAGAAAACTTTGATCAAGAGAAAACATCGGTAAGAACTAGACCGTAGTGAAAAAAAGAACACAGTCGTTCGAGTCCAAGGAAGAGAAGCTACCTCATTCTCAACAATTGGGTGGCCGCAAGAACGGCAACAGAAGCACTGGGGATGAAAAAAAGTCCCCATGCAACCCAGGTAGTTGCCATAGCCTATTTCGCGTTTACAACCGCCACATATTCTGCTAATCAGACACAAAAAGCACAAGATTAGTAGCAGCTACTTTCAAGCTTCATTAACAAAGCAATTTGGTATGCAAACAAACATTGAACAAGCTGAAGTTCCTAAGCTACGTGAAACCCAAAAAAAATGTTACCTTTGTTGTGCACAGGGATAATACTGTGGATGAGCTGGGGCATATGGAGGATGCAAAGGTGGATTCAGACCTTCCTGAAGTGACCTAGCAATCTCTTCATCTTTCTCTGTCTGCCATCTGTGTCCTGGGAATTGAAAATTTTAAATCCTCAATAACGACATTATGAAAACACGCGCGCACGCACATACAGAGGGTTGTACTCAGAGTTCGGATCTTGAAGAAAGGAAGCCTACCACTTGGTTTTTTCAGACCTTCCTGAAGTGACCTAGCAAGCTCTTCATCTTTCTCTGTCTGCCATCTGTGTCCTGGAAATTGAAAATTTTAAATCCTCAATAACGACATTATGAAAACACGCGCGCACGCACACACAGAGGGTTGTACTCAGAGTTCGGATCTTGAAGAAAGGAAGCCTACCACTTGGTTTTTTCAAATCTTCAGCCAGAGACACTGCAATTGCATGGTCTAACTCCTCTTTCTCCTTCTGTGCTCTAGAGTTGTCATCCTGATCACGAAAAGACAACGAAACTAATTTAGAAATGCACCCCAATAGTTCCAGTAGTATACTCGGATTCTCACTTGTCGTTGTAGTTTTCCTTGTTGCACTTTCGTTCTTATAGTTTCATACGTTAGCACCATTTAGTCCAATTCATCAAATAATCCTTCCAACTTCGATGATTTTTTGAATGAGAATATGTGCACAAAAAATTGATGGAAAAATCGACTCAGTTGACGGATTCGACCAAAGTGAAAAACATAACGAAAATGTTACAAAAATAACCTACATATGGATGAAAGTGAAAATCCGATTAAAGATATAAGCACTCAAAATCAACTGGGAGTTTTTAAAACCCCATATCTTGCAATCTCAAGAAAAGTAAATATTCTTAGCATCCACCCATTTCAGATTGAATCCCTTGTACTGCAAGCAAAGGGCATATTTTGCAGCCGAAAATCGAAAACAAAAATATGCCATAAATTTTGTAATCCAAACAAGAACAATACTAACATATATGAACAATCCGAATTTAAGAAAACGTGATCAGAAAAAATAGGAGAGGGATTGGTGTTCAAACCAAGGATCGAGGTGGCGCCTGCCAAAACGTGTTTTCGTCACCAATAAGCTGCGGATTCCGGCTACTACCAGCGGCGGCTTCTCGACGACTAGGCCCATTCCTGAAAAGTTTACTGAGCCATTTCATAAAGCGCGACTTCCTCTCTGTGTTCGAAGAAACAAAATCCCCTGCTTACCACAAATATTTCAACATCTCCCAACTATAAAAACAAAGTCCTCTGTTCCAACAATACAAGGAAACAGATCCCCAGATAATCAACGATTGAAAAAATTAAAGTTGAATATATATACATATACGTGTATATATATATGTTATACCATAAATACAAGGGTGAGAAAGCTGGTTGACACCTGAAGGAGCCATTGAATGTTGAGCTTCTTACGTATAGGAAGAGACTAAGAGGACTTCGCCGGAATCACGAAGAACCTTGAAAGGGACGGTTACAGAGAGACAGAGGGAGAGAGAGATTACGTGACAGACGGCTCGAAAGAAAAGAGGGAGGAGAACAAGGCACCAGGCATCGTCAAAATTAAAAGGCCGAGAGAGAAAGAGAGAAAGATGGCAAGAGAATCTCCGGGAGAGAAAGAAAGTGATTTTAGAATGTAGACAGAGAGACGCAGAGAAAGGCTCAGATTCTTGGCTTCCAAAGCAATGAAATTCAATTCATTTCTCTCAAAACTCCAACTAAAAGAAAACTCAACTTCATATATTTGTATATGCACATGCAAATATACGTATTAGTCCTTCTACACGAAGGGTTAACTGTAGTTCTGTTTATCCATGACATGTTAACAATTGAAAGGTCAGAGTATCAACAATATCGGCACTTTCTCCCTTCAACTTCCGGTCTGAAATAAGTTCTCTCTTTTCTTTAGCAGCTATGGCAAGAAGTTCTTTACTATAGTTGTCTCATCCCAACGTGATTCAAGTTGATTTTCTCTAAAGGCGTATTACATGTACCTATCAACACTACAATTTTAGTGTATGACATATTAATAGGGACTGTTATTGACACTCCAAAAATCTCATTCTATATTCCTCATAAGTATATTTTTCTTTGCAAATATAAAAAGTTTGGAGTGTAGAATGAGATTTTTAAAATGCTAATAACAATTCCTTATTAATATTGTCTGTTAGTTTCATAAAAAGTTTAGGAGGAGTGATTACTCTCTCACCAACATCTGGGCATTACCCATAACCTCAACACTATATTGTCTATTATTAATATTATAACACGTAAATTCATATTATCACATAAACCGTAACGGACCGTTATACTCAAATATCGTCTTTTATTGTGGCAGAGTGGGTTGAGGTTGTGTTTGGAGAACAGGAAAATGCTGGCATTATATCCATTAATCAGCCTATATAAAAGGGATTTGTATCCTCTCCTGAGCCCAAGGAGAGGATCCTCCTGACTAAGACACGTGAGCAGTTGGATTATCCAACGGCTACAAACAGAATGTCTCTTTAAAGTTATAATAATTATAGCCGTTGGATGAAAATCCAATGGCTCACGTGTCTTGTTTAGGAGGATCCTCTCCTTGGGCTCAGGAAAGGAACCAAAATCCATATAAAAGCACCCATGGGCCGACAGAAATAGGGACTAAGGTGGTCCCATAATCACTCAAGTTCAAAAATATACAAGTGAAGGTTTTCTGAAGATTTTTCGAATGTTTAGTTCGAGTCCTTTTTGAACTTACCAAATGTTTGATGAATGCATGCCAAGCATATATTGACATGTTGTGTTGATAACACTCGACAAATTTCTTCTATATTATTCATCAGATTGCTTCGACATATGCTGATTTCTGTTGACATGTACACAACAAGGTCACCGGGTGAATAAACTGTTTTTTTTTTTTTGCATACTTCGCTCTCTGTTCTTATCTAAAAAACTTGTATTAACAGTGATACCCCAAAATTCAAATCCGCCTTTAAAATCTATTAAGATTTAACATTCTTTCTAATGGTGGTCCATTTAACATAGCAGGTTTTTATTCTCCCCTTTTCCCTCTTTTTCCCCCACTTTTTTCCCAATTGGTTCGTCAAATACAAATATGTTAATTTTGTGAACACGGAAAATTCCTGAAACGAAAGAGACAAGAACAACGTGCACAAACAAATATTTGTATTTGATGATTTTGGGTTACAATCTCTCTCTATTTTGATCCTCTGATTCGATCTCCGTAAGGTGTGTATTTGTGGATGTGTGATTGATCCAAGGGCCGTCGAGGCTTGATCTTGGATGAACGTTCTTTAAGGGCCGTGGGCTTGATCTTTGAAAGTGGATTTGAGCGGATCTTCAAGGAGCCGTTGGGGCTTGATCTTGAGGATGAGTGTTTCTTCAAGGGCCGTTTGAGGCTTGAATAATGGTGATGAGCAGATCTTCAAGGGCTTTTGGGCTTGATCTTGAAGAACAGTGATGAACGGATCTTCAAAGGCTTTTGGGCTTGATCTTGAAGGTGGATTTGATCCAAGGGCCGTCGGGGCTTGATCTTGGAAGAACGATGAACGAATAACGAAGAACACTCTCTTCAAGGGCCGTCGGGGCTTAATCTTGAATTGGTGGATGATTGTTGATCCAAAGGGCCGTTGGGGCTTGATCTTAGGATGAACGATGAACGAAGAACGAAGAACACTCTCTTCAAGGGCCGTTGGGGCTTGATCTTGAATTGGTGGATGATTGTTGATCCAAAGGGTCGTTGGGGCTTGATCTTAAGATGAACGATGAATGAAGAACGAAGAGCGAAGAGAGCTTTCTTGATTCTTCAGGAACTTGGATGCTTGAGAGCTTCGGAGTTTTAGAGCTTCAGAGCTTCAAGAATTTTGCCTAATGATTTTGGTCCCCCCCTAAATTAATGAATTAGCCTTTTATTTATAGAAATTTCCAAGGCCTAATTTTGAATATAATATTCCAGATGAAATAAGTCGTTTCTGCCAGGTGTTAACACGTGTCCTGTTTGATGACTTTTCCAACTCATTTCAATTTTTCGTCGAGTCACATGCTACGTGTAAAATTTATGTAATACATGAGCATTGAAACTTTGATTTATCGATCAACATTTATTTACCGAAATTTCGATGTCTACAAATGCCCCCACTTCAAGGCGCATCGTATACATGTGCTTGTCGCGTGTAGGAGATGCGTTTTGAAGTCCCTTAATGTAGATGTCGATCCAAGGGTCATCGAGGCTTGATTTTGAATTGGGCTGGAGATTTCTTCAAGGGCCGTTGAGGCTTGATCTTGAATTGGGCTTGAGATTTCTTCAAGGGCCGTTTGAGGCTTGTTCTTGAACTTTTGTTTGAAATTTCTTCAAGGGCCGTCGAGGCTTGATCTTGAAGGTTTGAAATTGGACCACATGGAGCTTCATGTGGTAGATGATCTTTGGCTTTGGTAGTGGATGAATCGGCACGTATTTGTTTTTGTGCTTTGTTGACTTTCCACAGCTTTGATCTTGAACTGGGTTGGAGGATTTTCTGGATTCCTCCAATTGTTGATTTTCCACAGCTTATTCTTGAACTAGGTTTTGATTCAAGAGTGGTAGACACTTGATCGTGAATCGGACTTGTGATTTCCTCAAGGGCCGTCGAGGCTTGATCTTGAATCTGGCTGGAAGCTTCTTCAAAGGCCGTTAAGACTTTATTCTTGAAGGTTGACTCGAACACATGGCAAGCAGGCACGAGGTGAAGGTGACGACTTGTTGCTTTGTTCAATCTTTCTAATTCACACCTGAGCAGTTTGGTCAACGGTATGATCTTCAAGATTGATGGGCTTTTCTTCCAGTTGGTGACTTGATCTTTAAGGATTTGATTCAAGGGTGGTGAAACGGCACATGCAGCCCACAACGCCTAGCAAGTCGACCCAAGAATTTGAGGGTCAAAACGAGTTCACCGTCCAGAGTGATTGCAACCCTGATGATATGAGATACTTTTGATTTTGAAGAAGTAGCGGATGAATCAACATGAATCAGCACGTGCTTTGTTGCACTTGTCTCCACATGCTTCAAGGTATCATTTTCATTTCCTTTATCTGTTCCTCAGGCAGATGTGGCATCTTCTCGAGTTCTTCATCTCAGACTTCTTCTGCTGAGTTGACTGTGCAGGCTGCATTCTTCTCTGCTTGTTTCTTCTGCACGTTGTCTCCACGTGCTGCAAGGTATCATTTTCACTTATCTTATCTGTTCTTCAGGCAGATGTGGCAGCTTCTTTAGAAGTACAGCAGCAGTGGGAGACGAGTACTCGAGAGTAGTGCTAGGTAGGCAATTAGGGAAGGGTTCCAAGCAGTCGGTTCCTTACCCGAGTTTGAGTGGAGGTTCTGGCATATTGTTTTCTTTATCCTTGTCTTTGTAGGTAAGAACAAGGACGAAGGAAAGGACAGGGAAAAAGCATGATATGAGATACTCTTGCTTTCTACCCTGGTGATATGAGATACTTTTGCCTTGGAGTCATTTGCTTGCAGAGGTGCCCCAAGGAATAAGAAACACTGAGTGACTTGAAAGACTTCGTTGGGAAAGCATTCTTTGGAGATGAAGAAAGGTTCTGTATGTCTGCCTTGCTATGGAAGGTGAAGGTGACAGTTATAGGAAGTTCTTTAATACCTGTAGAGGTACTATTCTTTCACTCGTGTCGGCAACTATTGAGTGATTGATCAGTATGGCTTCACGCGCTTTTCTTCTTCATCAGAAGTCTTCGACAAATTGTCCGTAATTTCCGCCAAGCTGAGTGTGCATGTGACAGGTGTTGACGCGATTGAAACAGACTGGCGCCTCTTCGATATCCGGGATCGGCGCTTCGACAAATTACCCGTGATTTCCGCAAAGCTGAGTTTGCTTGTGATGGGTGCTGATGCGTCTGGAAAAGCAAGATGCCTCTCCGATTTTTTGAGCTTGCCTCTTCGATTTTTGAATTGGCCTCTTCGATTTCTGAGCTCCGTCGAGTGCAGAGGTTGCATGTGACAAGTGCGGACAAGTCTGGAAAGGAAGATTGCCCGTGGTTTCCGAGCAAGCCCAGCTTTTGAGAAAGCTAGCACCTCTTTGATTTTTTGAATTGGCCTCTTCGAATTCTGAGTTCGCCTCTTCGATCTCTGAAATCCCGTCAAGTGCTGATTTTTATAGAGGCACGCAATTCATTTCAAAGCACACTTGAATTTTCGCTTGTAGAAACTCCCTTCTTGCACTTCTAAGATCTTGATTTGTCCGGTCTCTTCTTTCTTTCAAAACTTTTGAAAAAAATGTCTGGCCCCTCCGACCGTCGTCTTGACTTGAACCTTGGTGAAGAGGCAGTCCCGCCTTCTCCAGACAACATATGGCGCCCATCCTTCATATCCCCTACTGGTCCTCTTACCGTTGGGGATTCGGTGATGAAGAATGATATGACCGCTGCGGTGGTGGCCAGGAACCTTGTCACTCCCAAAGATAACAGACTACTTTCCAAACGGTCTGATGAGTTGGCTGTTAAGGATTCTCCGGCTCTCAGTGTGCAGTGTGCAAGTTCTGTGTCTAATATGGTCCAACGTCTATTTGCTCGAACCCGTCAAGTTGAATCATTGGCGGCTGAAGTGATGAATCTCAAACAGGAGATTAAAGGGCTTAAGCATGAGAACAAACACTTACACAGGCTCGCGCATAACTATGCTACAAACATGAAGAGGAACATTGACCAGATGCAAGAATCTGATGGTCAGATTTTACTTGATCATTAGAGGTTTGTGGGTTTGTTCCAACAGCATTTGCCTTCGTCTTCTGGGGCTGTACCGCGTAATGAAGCTCCAAATGATCAACCTCCGGCTCCTCTTCTTCCCGGAGTTCCGCCGAGTGATAAGGCGCCATCTGATCAATGAAGGCCCCCTTATATTTGCTGCTTGCACATTTGTAAATTTTTTTTTTTTTTTTGCATGTAGAATGCAATTTTATGTAATCTTTCCAGAGAAATAAATAAAATAGATTTTATTTCTCTCAATGTTTTTTTTTTTTTTTTGCTATATACATACATACATATATATATATATATATATATATATTTTCACGTGGACTGATCCACCATTCCAAAACCCTTTCCCTTTTTTTGTATGGTGCTAGCCACCAAGAATCCATTTACTCCTTTATATATATATATATATATATATATATATATATATATATATTTTTTTTTTTTTTTTTGTTTCTTCTTTTCTACTTTCGGTAGTGCTCACACCTACCACATCAAATTTTTTTATTATATTTTATTCTTTGCTTTCGGTGGCTGGACACCATTTGAAAACCATTTCACAACTTTTCATTTTTTTACAAACATATATATTTTTTTTAGAATGGTGCCCATCATTTTTTTATTATATTTTTTTTATATAAATTTGGATGACGGGTTGAGGAATTTGCAGGGATGAAGCCGAGCTTCGGAGCACCGCCGCATAGCACCGATGTTCAGAACAATCCCAGGCCCCAAACTCTGCTTTGCGACCCGACCCATCTCTCCGGCCTGCACTCTACCCAGATCTCCACCTCCGCCGTCGATGTTACCGCCTCTCCATTGCCTATGCGGTTGGCCATATTGCCGTTGGCAGCCTTTCCGCTGGCAGTGGCATTGCACCGCAGCTTCATGAGCCGAAGGCAGGTGTTGTGGCAAGCATCAATGACGTAGCGCAGGAACTCATGAGTGTCCTCCTGTCGACCGCCCCGAAAGTGTTCGGCAAAAATCCCAAGACAGTTCTGTATCTTCTGCGGCGCATCCAGACTGAGATCCAGACTCAGCAAGCGCACTATCCGCTTCTCCATAATGCAAAAGGGACAGTCGCGCTTCCGCTCCGCATCCGAAGAGTCACAGAGAGAGGTGTGGAGTTTGCGGAGGCAGAAATTGGCGAGATGAGGGGTGTAGGTGAGGCATTGGAGGACGCTGTTGAGGTGGCAAGAGTTGCCGAGGTTGCGTAACCCTAGAGGCGGCATGCCATTCTTGCGCTTCTGACTCAGTAGACTCGGCTGCCAACTCATCTGCAATTGGAATTGCAGGCCCATCAACGACGAAGACGACCATCGCAAGACGACATTGTTCCGATGATGATGCACCACCACCACCCCAACGGCATATCTCTTCCCTACTCCAATCTCCTCTCTGGTCCTCTACCAGCGGTAAAAAATCGAATTAAAGAAAAACGAAAATACCAACAGAAAAACAGAATTAAATATTAAATTGTTTTTCTTTTAGGATTGAATAAGGTAAGAAAGAGAGAGAGATGTGAAGAAGAAGAAAGAGAAGGAGACGAAGCAGGAAAAGCCCTCCAACCTCTTTACCTACCAAACCCCAAAAATCCCCCCAACTTGTCTGATTTTTCGAGGGTTCATCTCTGTCTTTCCCTCTTCCTTTTTTTTTTTTTAAATCAAATTTTGAGAATGCTCCTGAGAAATCCACGGCTGATTGCAACAAGAACAAAAATGTTCTGCTTGAAGAGCAAGGATTATGACCCCCAAGTGATGGATCCTGATCGAAATCAAATTTATGACTGTTCCCAACTTACCCACCAGTAATCTACATGTCTCAGCATTGGATCCATTAATTGTTGCAAATGAGAAAAGGCAACTCTCACACATTCCATGAACATCTACAAGCTTATTGTGAGCACGGCAAAGAACTAACGAAGAAATCTCTGACTTTCGTCTTGTTTTCACCACCTGGCTCAGCTCCTTCGAGAAGAGCTTGCTCTGGTTGGGGGGAATTCAAGCCGTCAATGGTGCTGCAGATGGTGGACAGCTCGATTGAGGACTTGATGGCGGAGCAGGCGACGGAGATAGACGTGGTGAAGAGCGAGACGAGTGAAGATGGGCTTTGAGAGCCGAGCCCGGATTTGTAATTGGTGGACAAAGAAGGAGATGGGCCTGGATTTGGTCTATGGTTTTGAAGGGCCTGGGCTGCATCTAATGGCATCAACCGGTTCTAGGCTCCTGGGCCTGTGCTCGATGACGAACCTGTTGTTCGTCTGCGTGTCCTTCTGCTGCTGGGCCGAGACATACATATATATGTTTCCTTTTTTTCTTATTTCCTTTTGTTTTTTTTTTTTTTTTTTGTAAATACATAATAACATATGTATTCTTTTTTTTCTTTCTATATTTTGTATAATAAAATTGACTCTCAATAGTCGAATGTTTAATAAAACTTTTTTTATTTTTTTATTTTTTATTTTTTATTATTATTTTGATGTGGACTGAACTCAAAGTTTTGAATATTCAAGCTGCCTACGTACCCCTCTAAAGAAGAGATCAAGTCGTAACGTAGTTCAAATACATACATATTTTTTTTTTGGTATTTTCTTTTTGTGCCATTTGCAATTTTAACTCATGCAGACAAGGAGTGTTGGTGTCGTTTGCAATTTTAACTCATGCAGACAAGGAGTGTTGGTGTCGTTTGCAATTTCAACTCGTGCAGACAAGGAGCATTTGGTGCCGTGTTGCAGTTTCAGCTCGTGCAGGCAAGGAGCGTTGGTGTTGCCTTTTATGCTCGTGCAGACCAGGAGCGTTTGGTGCCGTGTTGCAGTTTCAGCTCGTGCAGGCAAGGAGCGTTGGTGTTGCCTTTTATGCTCATGCAGACCAGGAGCGTTGGTTCGTGTAGTTTAGGCTCGTGCGAACAAGGAGCTATTGTGGTTCGTCAAGCGATTCAGGAGAGTTGTTCCTCGCAATCTTCATAGCAAGGAGCCTTGACTGAGTAGTTGAAGAAGTCCTCTGGGAAAATGTCACACATCGTGATGGGGATGGATGATCTTTGTGTCAAAGTTTCATTATCTCCAACACTTTCACATTGTTCTGGAGGTTGGCGAAAGCTGTTTTGCCCCCTTTCTGATTGGTGCACTTGTGGAGGAGACGTATGCTTCTTGTATAATTTCTTAGGAATGACTTGAGTCCATCCTTCAACTTTGTTTGTCTTGGAGGATGCCCTCGGAGGTTGAGGTAAAAACTTTGAGCAGGAAGAGCCAGAAGTTATGGTGGTATAGTTTGACTTCACCACATCATCAAGATCTAGCTCGATGATTTCTTTCTGAGCCAGCTTCATGATGAGATCTTTCAGCACGAAGCACTTTTCTGTCGGATGACTGATGAAGCGGTGGAATTTACAGTACCTTGGACTGTCGGTGCGATTCATCTCTTCTGGCCGTCTGCACTCAGGCAAGCCGATCACCTTCTTTTCCAGCAAGTCTTCTAACATGGCAACCACATCAGAGTCGGGGAATGGATAAGTTTTCTCCTCAAGCTCCTTCAAAGTGCGTCTACGCATCTTTTGATCACGAAAGGCTTCGGTTTGAATCGCCTTGCCTCGTGTAGGGATTTTGACGGGAGTTGTGTTGACTGTCATTGCTTCTTTGGTGGATTTCCCCGTAACCTTCTCCACCTTTGTCTCAAGAACTTTGTCATTCTTGTAGTCGGCGATCGGTTCCTTCTTCCCATGATGGGCGATGCTCAACTCCATGTAATGGGCGCGGGTGGCCAATTCCTCGAAGGTCCGTGGTTTAATGCCTTGAAGGATGTATTGCAAACCCCATTGCATGCCTTGGATGCACATCTCGATTGAAGAGGTTTCCGAGAGCCTGTTTTTACAGTCGAGGCTTAGAGTGCGCCATCTGTTGATGTAGTCAATGACTGGCTCGTCCTTCCACTGCTTTGTGCTCGTCAGTTCTAGCATGCTCACAGTGCGACGGGTGCTGTAGAAGCGGTTGAGGAATTCCCGCTCCAATTGCTCCCAGTTGTTATGGATTCAGGCTCTAGGTCCGTGTACCACTCAAAGGTGTTTCCTTTCAGCGAGCGCACAAACTGCTTGGCGAGGTAGTCCCCTTCGGTCCCTGCGTTGTTGCAAGTTTCAACAAAATGGGCAGCGTGCTGTTTCGGGTTTCCCTTTCCATCAAGTTGCATGAACTTTGGCGGTTGATAACCCCTCGGCATCCTTAAGGCATCAATCTTCTTTGAATACGGCTTCGAGTACAACCTGGAGGTATTTGAGCTCCCTTCGTACTGTGCCTTGATGGTGTTGGTGATCATCTCTTGCAGCTGTTGGATAAAAAGAGATCCCATGAGTGCCGCTGCTTGGTCTGGCTCCGGCTTCACATCGATTCTCTCCACCGTAGGCTCATCTTCTGGGTTGGGTTTCTCGCCGTCCTGTGCCTCCAATCGGTTGACTAGTGCTGCAATTTGCAAGTCTTTTTCTTCCACAGTTTGGGTTAACCTTGCGATTGCTTCATTCATTTGAGCCAATTGCTCTTCGATAGAGGTAACGCCGATGGTCATGACTTGTGCAACCAATAGACGTGACTTTCCTTTAGATATCCAAGATGCTGACGAAGAACGTCGTTGGCTGCTTTGGGATGTCATCTTATGTGCCTCAGTAGCATGCTTTGGTGCCCCCAACGAGGTCAGGTTGATGACGGACTTGCGCCTTTGATGCTCCCCTTGCTCTTTTAGCGACACCAACTTTGAAGTGGCATGTTAAGAAGCGTTTGTGGCACCAATGGATGCTCCGTTCATGGCGGAAGTGCTTAGGCTTCTTTCCTTTGTGAGAACAGCTTGTCATTTGCTTAATGCCATTGATTTTTGGAAGTGTGCTTGAATTTCTTGAACGGAGAAAGAGATGAGAGGTAGAGATTGTCCCACCAGGCGTGCCAATTTGTGAACACGGAAAATTCCTGAAACGAAAGAGACAAGAACAACGTGCACAAACAAATATTTGTATTTGATGATTTTAGGTTACAATCTCTCTCTATTTTGATCCTCTGATTCGATCTCCGTAAGGTGTGTATTTGTGGATGTGTGATTGATCCAAGGGCCGTCGAGGCTTGATCTTGGATGAACGTTCTTTAAGGGCCGTGGGCTTGATCTTTGAAAGTGGATTTGAGCGGATCTTCAAGGAGCCGTTGGGGCTTGATCTTGAGGATGAGTGTTTCTTCAAGGGCCGTTTGAGGCTTAAATAATGGTGATGAGCAGATCTTCAAGGGCTTTTGGGTTTGATCTTGAAGAACAGTGATGAACGGATCTTCAAGGGCTTTTGGGCTTGATCTTGAAGAACAGTGATGAACGGATCTTCAAGGGCTTTTGGGCTTGATCTTGAAGGTGGATTTGATCCAAGGGCCGTCGGGGCTTGATCTTGGAAGAACGATGAACGGATAACGAAGAACACTCTCTTCAAGGGCCGTCGGGGCTTGATCTTGAATTGGTGGATGATTGTTGATCCAAAGGGCCGTTGGGGCTTGATCTTAGGATGAACGAAGAACGAAGAACACTCTCTTCAAGGGCCGTCGGGACTTGATCTTGAATTGGTGGATGATTGTTGATCCAAAGGGCCGTTGGGGCTTGATCTTAGGATGAACGATGAACGAAGAACGAAGAGCGAAGAGAGCTTTCTTGATTCTTCGGGAACCTTGATGCTTGAGAGCTTCGGAGTTTCAGAACTTCAGAGCTTCAAGAATTTTGCCTAATGATTTTGGTCCCCCCCCCCCTAAATGAATGAATTAGCCTTCTATTTATAGAAATTTCCAATGCCTAATTTTGAATATAATATTCCAGATGAAATAAGTCGTTTCTGCCAGGTGTTGACACGTGTCCTGTTTGATGACTTTTCCAACTCATTTCAATTTTTCGTCGAGTCACACGCTACGTGTAAAATTTATGTAATACATGAGCGTTGAAACTTTGATTTATCGATCAACATTTATTTACCGAAATTTCGATGTCTACAAATTTATCTTTGCTTCCTATGGAATTAGATACTTATTTATATATTAATTCTCTTTTCTTTTCATTAGGTTTTCACATGGCAACAATATTCCCTCCTAAAAAATATCCCTTCTTATTCAATATCAAATCACAAATCCAACGTACACCCTGTTGTTTTGAGTGTTAGCTATTGGGGGTATGTGAGATTTTAGATTTGTTAGTTAAACTCTATGTGTAATCTCCATTTTAATTATTAGTGGAATTTTTTTGGCGTCTTTGAACTGAATGTAGGCCTACACCAAACCAGTATAAATCTTAATGTCACTTTGGTTTGTTTGTTTTGTCATATTTTTCCGTATTAGTTTATTAGTTTCATACTTAACATTGTTGCACAACAATTTATGCAATCCCATCAAATATTGCAATACACACACACACACACACACACACATATATATATATATATATATATTATAATTTTGATACTGCCAAAGGCAAAGTATTGTGATCTCATAAATCTTTGGAGCGGCCCAGACGTAGCCACCAAAACTGAGGTGGGTGAGCTATTTAGGGTGGAACGGAGTTTTGGAGAGCAATTTATATGCAACAAATTTATTATTATACGGTGTCTTGATTCAATAATGTTATATAATGCAGATAAAATCTTGATATTATACATATTACTGAACTAATGTGAGTCATTCTCCTAATTTTGCATGTTATGAATAGTTTAAAACTTTGTGTATAGAGCATAGCCAAAACCCACCTTTACACCTAATATGTTGGTACCTTTGGAAGTTTATTGACCTTTGGAAGTTTAATTAGCATTTCTAAAATGCAAGAGATTCTTGGATGTAGAAAATCTGTATTCGTGCCTGTTTTGACAAGGCACAGAGTGGCTGATACTTTTATGTTTTTATCTGCAACAGGCAACCATAGGCAAAGTCGGTTTTTGCATGGCAACCGTCCGACAATATTCCTATACCACACAATTATACGATATGATGACTCATTTCAGTATTAAAGGGGCCTTTTGCTAGCCGTCCATGTGCTTTTTTTCACTTGTTTATTGATCTTGGCCAAAGTCTAAAGGGCAGGCTTGGACCTGCCTACAAGAAAAGGTGCTTATAGATCATGTAGATATATGAGTCATCTTACGTAATATTACTAATTTATGTGTATAATACATGCGAATATATGATATATTAACATTTTATAGTCCAGTATAATAAA